TCTTATCCTTTAGACGCTGCCCAAGGTCATTAATTCTGTCCGACTTGACATCACTGTCATGATGGAGCGCCTTTAGATGCTGCCCAAGGTCATTAATTCTGTCCGACTTGACATTATTGACATACTGGAACTTCTCTAGAAGCTCCTCAACGTAATTCAATTGGCCCCAATTGTAATCACTGTCACACTTAGCCTCCATTACAAGCTGCTCAAGGTCAAAAATTTTGGCCGACTTTGCATGATTGTCAAGCTTAGCCTCTTTTAGACACTGCTCAAGGTCATTAATTTGAGCCTGATACATATTTGTCTTTCCTTCTTCCATTGTAGGCCTATATTGTTGTTGAAATGTGATAAACTTGTCTTGCCTTGCCTTACTGGTGTCTCTTGACAGTCCGGAATAACTAGTTTGGAGAAATGAAGTCTGGGGTATAGTTTCTTTGCCTTTCATCTGGACAAATGATTCTGTCTTTGATCTTTGTGTGACGTCATGCCATTCTATGCGCCAGCTGTCAATCCAGCGGGAGGCTCCGTTTGGAGACCGAATGCGTCCGAAAGGCTCCGACGAGGCTGTCCCATTTAGAAGACTCCTTCCAATGTATAAATACAGAAATTAATAAATAAAAGAATAAATAAATGCTGAAATGAGTAAATGAAAGTTGATACTGTAACAGACTGTCTCATGTTTGTCGTTTCTGGTGTTGACTGTTAATATGTCCCTTGAGGGTTGCCGTAGCAAAGGGGAAACTCCCGCCTCTGGCTAAAGAAAAAAACAATAATAAAGAGAGTAGCCGTGGGCTGATACACAATCTAATCTCCCGACTCCAGTTCTTACGGTATGATAAGTGCAATACACGAACCCAAGACGCTCGGTTACAATACCTAAACAGGACGTAAATGAATAAATCTATTTCTACATTTCTGTATTCCTTCATTTATTTATTTCTGTATTTCTGTGTCCTATGTTTCATGAGGTAGGCGGTCCGAACCTCATTCTTAAGCAGGATTGGTCGAGTAGGGGAGCAAGACAGAAGCAACCGATTCCTAAACAAATCATCCCTGCAGACTACGTCAAAAAACTATCTAGCAGCACCGATGGCTTCGACCGGGCGGCCGCTGGCAGACCTGCTGCGGGATGTGGCTGACCATTACATTACATTACATTACAGTCATTTAGCAGACGCTTTTATCCAAAGCGACTTACAAGAGTCCATCACATTTCTACACCGTAGGCACAGCTACGGGAGCAATTTTGGGGTTAAGTGTCTTGCTCAAGAACACATCGACCAGCTTGAGAACTGTGAGTTTCTTTTGTTTAAACGTATAAGCCTCATAACAACAGCAGTTGTTTAGCTAAATACTGTTGGTCAAAGTGCCAATATACTCTATTAAACTGAACTAGGCAGCCATGTGGCG